GCAGGCGGGCGATGGTTTTTTTGCAGCGTGAGTTATTGCTTGTCTGGTAACAGAGCGGAGAGCATTAAAAAAAAAAATAAATCTGTTTCCCGTGGGGATTTTATCGGGCCATCATTCAGATATTTAAAGCCTCTCATGCTCAGATTTTTGCCTGCCTCCTTCAAGGAGGGTGACCATGTTGTTCTTTTGACCCTGGGGACCTGAACCTGAATCCTGGCCCAGAGCAAAGGCTCATCTTGCCCTGCTGCCCTGCATCCAACAGCTGCCAGGAACGGATGCTCGAGGGCTGTAAATAACTCATCCGAGCAAGAGCGTGCTCCATCCCCTCGTATGGGCAGCAGCGGGTGGGCGTGAAGGGTCTAGGGCATCATGTGCCAGAGATCAGAAGATGAGCAGTTTGCTGAGATGCTATTTTACATCCCTCTAGATTGCTTTGTTTGGCTTGAGAATGAGGTCCCAAGCCCAGACCCAGGGCATGACCTGCCTCTCATGCTGGCCCAACAGCTGCATCCCTCTGCTCTGGCTGGGGAGAAGGACCCCCTGTTCCGGCAGCAGCTCTGGGTACCAGAGCTATTTGATCTCTGATTAATCATCCTGTTCACAGAAGGCAGATCTTGAATATATGCTCTCTGCCCTGAAGCCATCTGTCATGACTTGCTTTCAGATCCCCTCTGGGCATGTCTGCAGAAGGAAGATGACTTACCTGGGGCTGGGAGAGCGGCTGCCAGAGCCGGTACCGGGTATATGGCCAGGGCGAAGGATCAGAGCATTGAACCCATGCACTGGCATGTCCCAGCAGCTGCCGTGGGGCTTTGGGGACCACTGGCTCTCAAGGGGCTTGGTACAGAGCAGGGCCATCTCAAGCCTGGACTGGGGAAATAATCTGCCCTGGCACAACCTGGAAGCACCAGCAAAGCTGGGTGGGGCATCGCTTCCCCACCGCTTCCCACGAGCAGCAGTCCTGGGGGCTGGTGGGGTTAAACGGCAGAGTAGGAGAGTGTCAATCAGGAACATTGCTGTGCCTTCCCTGCGATGGGGTGAGGGACTGTCATCCCATAATGGCTGTTCCCTGTTGGTACTGACAGCTTGTGATGGCAGAGGGGTGTTAATCACCAGCAGCATCTTCAAGGAGGTCCAGCTCAGGGTGTTTTGAAGGAGATTCGGGTCAGGCAGGTGGCTGAGCTGTGCCCGTGTGTGTCTCTGGGGAGAGAGATGTTTCAGTTCACACCAGTTTCTGTAAGAACCTTGATGTTGTTTCTGTTGGAGAGCTAACCAGCAGGCTTTGCTCCTCAACCTGCTCCAGAACCAGTCTCCTTGACACCTGCCATCTCGCCCGGGCGTGCTGCCAGCTCCTGCACACAGGCAGCTCTCTGAAGGTCACACGTGCTGCCAGCCGATGTGCCCTGTGTGGGCAGGACATCTCCACGGCTCCTGTAGCAGGCTGGGGAAATAGGCTGCAGGGAAAAACTAATGCTCGAGCATCACCAGGGTGTCCCCAGGGGGGACCACCCTGTCCCCCCAAACCCAAGGGGTGGAAGCGAGCTGGGTAGCTTACACTGAAATGTGCAGGGTGATGGAGTGGCTGTTTTGGAGATCCATGCTGTCCTCACCCCCTGTCTCTTCCCAGCAGCCCATGTACTGCACAGATCACGTACCTTTTTACCACTCCTCGTTATCGTCCCCATCAATAATTAAGCTGCAAGTCCCTGGCTGTTGGCTGCTCCAGGAAGCGGAGGCCGGGCGCTCTCCCTCCGCTCAGCCTCCCGCGGGAACAGCCTGTCCCTGGGCGCGCGCTCGCTTAATTGCTTGTGACACTGTTAAATATGGATCTTGGTGGCTTTCCAAGGGCACCCCGGCAGAAGTGCTGTACAAAGGAACCATTACCAGGATAATCGGAGAAGACAGCCCCAGCAGAGCGGAGAAGGCGAGAGAGGATGCCATGCCCAAAGGACATGTCATCTACGAAGGGAAGAAAGGCCACGTGCTGTCCTACGAGGGTAAGTCCTAAGCCTCTGCCATTTTAGGACAGGCACCAGGGGTTTGTCCTGCCGTGGTTGGGTGTCAGGACCTATTTGAGGAAAGGCTGATGAAGTGCAATGGGCCAGCCTCGCGTTTTTGCTTCCAGCGTCGTTTCTCTCCCTTCCCACCTGCCTACAGCCTGGCTGGGTTTCCCTCTGTCCCTTGTGGTTATCTTGCCTTGGAGGCAGCTCTGCTGGTGGGCATGGGCACGATGGAGCCACGGACAAGTTCTCTGGTTTTGGTTGGTTTTGGGAAGCAGGAGAGAGGAGAGGACCAGATGGGAAGGTATTGCCTTCATCCCTAGCACCCTGTACAGGAGAGGACTTTCCAAAAACATTATGAGAGCATCCCCAAGCTCTTGGGCCAAGTTGGGACTCAAGAACCTACAAGATTGAAGCAAGTCAGGTAGTTTGGCATAAAAGTTTAGTTGGACATCAGATTCCCACCTGCAATGTCTTTGGCACAGTGCTGCTTCCCCACCATGGGGCTGCCCTGCAGGAATCCTCCTGGGCCTGACAGCACCGTGTCTCAGTATCTTGTGAGCTTTGCTACAGCATCTGTAGCTATTGGAGAGGGTGAAGCCATTCCTGTGTCCCACAAGGAGCCTGCACAGTAAAACATCTCCTTGGTAAATGCTGACGGTGTCTCGCTGCGTTAGCGGAATCGGCCGCGAGTCACCAGCTGCTCTGCGAGTCCCACTGCCTCCCGTTAGAGATAAACACATGTTCCTCTCCAGTGGAGCTGGAAATGACTCCTCCGTGCTCCCCTTTCGCCGTGTGCTGGGTCAGGCATCTCTGGTGTGGAGCTGGGCTCCTCCTCGCTTGCAGCCGGGTCAGGAATTGCTGAGTTACAGACACCACAACCCCGCGTCTTCTTGGGGTAAAATAGTGGCCTGTGCTCTGGCATGCACAGGGACGACCATCCTGTTGTGTCACCTCTCCTCTCACTTGGATTTGGAGATGACTAAGGAGCAGATCCTAACCTCAGCCGCACCCACCTGCCTCAGTAGGTATCCCTGGTCAGGTGCTGCGCTACCTGACCCCTCTGCCCCCTCCCCAGGGTGGCTGCCCCCCTCCCTGGGGCAGAGCATCCCTTCCAGCCTGCCTGTGGTCAGTGCTGCAGGCAAAGTGTGTCCCACAGAAGTCCCTTTCCTCTTGCCCACCAGTGCAGGCAGCTGGTTTCATCACAGGCTGGTTGTTTCAGCCAGGGCTGGAAGCAGAGCATTGGGAACACGTGGGACAACTCACAAGCTTTGGCAGATGCCACCTCTGTGTGCCCTGGGACCACAGGGACCTTTCAGGACAGGGCTCTGCGCTGTGTCTCTCGCCCGCTGCATGGAAACCAGCTTGTCCCATGCCCACCCGCGTTTGCTGTCAACTCTAGCCCAGATAAGAAGTGTCACCGCAGGAGACTTGTGTCTGGGTGCCCTTTGGGACAGTTGGCAGGGCTGGGACCAGGAAGCATTTCGGGAATTGTTTGTGCAAGAAGTTATTTTAATCTCCTCTGCCTGGGCTTGGAGTCGAATGAGGTTGATCCCAGAAACGGTGCTGCCACGGGAGGGACCAGGAAAGCTCCCGGCAGCGAGGACTGCCCATGCCCAGAGCTGGGATCCCACTCTGGGCAGCAGAGGGGACCTGCAGACCAGACTTGTCCCCATTGCACGCACTCATTGGTGTCAGCACGAGTCTCCTCAGCTGCAGCCTGAGCCCTTTGCCTCTTGTCCTGCCCTCCATGGACACAGATGAGGAATTAATTCCTTCCTCTCCAGGGCAGCCTTTTACACGCTTGATAACGTTGATCGCATCCTGAGTGATCTCACCTGCTCTGCAGCCCAGCCAGCCCTGCTGCCCGCCTCCTTCCCTCCATACAGCCCAGCAAGGCTTCACAGCCCGGAGCGGAAGAGTTAAAAACAAAAATTAAATAAAAAAACCTGAAATTGTTGGTGATTATGAATTTTGGCAAGCAGAAGAAAAATTGCGAATTCTTTAGTGTCATGAGGGTGCTTAAAATAAAAGAGCTGTAATGAGCCGAGATCCTGCAGCATGTGCGAGCTGAATTGTGCTAGATTGGTTATTCTCATTCTGCATCTGATTGCTGACGGCTTCTGCAAGGCACGGGACGTGGGTTTGGAGTGATTTTCTTTCTGTTTATTCTCTCTTCTCCCTCGTGCCCTCCCCCTGCTTCCCAGCAGTACAAAGGGTGCCCAGGGCCGTGTCCCCTTCTGCAGAAGGGCTGTTGCCAGCAGATGTGCCTTGATGACAGGGTGCAGGCACGTCGCCTCACATCTGCCACGAGGTCCTCGGCTGATTCTGAACATCACCCCCGGATTTCTCCCCTCTAATGAGTCTGAAGTGAAGGCTCAGGGACAGATCCCCCTCTTGTTTCCCTGCACGCAGCCCCAAACCCTTTCTGGATTGAGTGGCTGCTGATTGCAGAACCAAATAGTGGGTGTGAAGTTGTAATAATCCCATTTTATTAATTACTGGTTTTACCGAGGAGGACTTTTGTTCCCGATTGTCCACGATGGAAATGAATGTTTTAAAATTCTCCTCCATTTTCTCAACTGTATAAACCCCTTCTCTGCCCACAAAGAGGAGGATCAGGGCACCAACAATCCTCAGCAGGGTGGCCAGGCCATGGACGATGGGCAGAGACGTTCACCTCTCCAAGCTCAGAGCTCTTTCCATAAACACGAGGCACTTGGCCAGACCAGAAGCTGCCTGCTCAGTTCACAGCTCACTGCACACGATGGGGCGGGTGTGATGCTGCCTGGCACAGGCACGGCTGTCCTTACAGAGGGGTGGGGGCTGTTGCTCAGGACAGTTGTCCACTGTTGGTTTGAGAGCAGAAGAATCTGCTCTGGATTTGAACAAGAAGGTGGTCAGTGGCCTCTCATCATGCTGGTGCTCACACCATCAGTCCTGCATGAGACTTTTCACCGTCTCTCCCAGTTCTTGTGCTCACTCACCGCTGTTTCAAAGGAATCATTCTCAGCTTTGCCTCTCCCCTCTTTTCCCTGATTTTCTCACCCAGGGAGTGTCTCGGCAAATGTTAAGGCTGGCCAAGATCCCAAACAGTAGGTGTCTACCAAAAATCAAAACAAACAAGGAAAAAAAAATAAAAATCCCCAGATCCACAGGGCCAAGTTCAGTGGAACCGCAGCTGCTTGCACCAGCGCCGCGCTGGCTCCGCGCTGTCCTGCTGCCTTCATCTGGCCCCCGCCGGGGAGGGAGGGAGGGAGCGAGACACGACAGGGTGGATGCTCCCACCCGAGCGGGAGGGACAGATCTGGAGTCTGAGACCAGCAGGGAGGGGAGAAAACACCAGCTGAATTTCTTGGAAGCCAACCTCATGCGAGGTTTCTGGAGTTGCTGAGTGGTGGCTGATGCTGGGATGGGATCTGACCTTTCGGTAACACACGCAGACAGCAGTACACACCCTCCCTTGGCTGGTGCTGACGTTCCGTGTTCCTGATGGTGCTTCTTGGTGTTCCCTTCCCCCAGGTGGAGTTGCTGCTTCTCAGTGTCCCAAAGAAGACAGCAGGAGCTCAGGAGCTTCACATGAGACCACAGGAACCAAGCGGACCTATGATATGATGGAAGGGAGGATCAGCCGGGGCTTGTCAGCCCGTGATACCTTATCTGCCAGCATTGAAGGTGGGTCTGGGTGAAACCTTTCACCCATGCCATATTAGTAGCAACCCTCAGAGACCCCATGTTATCTCTTGTCTACACGACACATCTTCCTATGCCCGTAATTTGGCAGCGGCTGGCTGGAACCCTACAGCACATCCCAACAGGACAGCATCCGAGCAGCATGGGAAAACAAGGGACACAGACTGGCCCGTTTGCCTTTGGTTTGTGTCCTGGTAGACCAGTTTCAGGACCACAAAAAAAGGAAGCAGATTTTTATAAAAGAGAAATCAAGTAATTTAAGAAATTGTTGATATTTTTCCTTGTTGTCCCAGGAATCCCTGGTAACACTGCCGTTGTGTATTCATTGTAAATGAACTCTTGTGTCACAACCCAGCTTCTCCTCTTGGATCTCTTCTAGGTCTCATGGGCCGAGCAATCCCTCCGGACCGACACAGTCCCCATAACCTAAAGGAGCAGCATCACATGCGGGGCTCAATTACACAAGGTAAAGCCTGCAAGCAGAAGATGGCCAGGGCTAGAGGTAACGTGGGGAAGTATCTCATTGCATGACCCCTTGTTCTTGTTGTCAAGCTAGGGCAGGAGGAAACAAGGATGGACACATCAAGGTCCATCTGCAGATCTCTGCAGCCTTGACTGTGTGCCCACAGAGATTTTCAGACTTGCTCAGTTTCCACCGACCTAAACTCTCACCAAAGTCAGGGGTAAAATTCCCAGTGACTTGCATGAAGGCAGGTTGGAACTAGTGCAAAATGGGTCCAGAAAGTGGTGGTAGATGTAAGGAGGCCCAGCTGCATTAGTGATGTGTCTGCTCTGTGTGCTCAGTTGGGTACCAGTTCCCAAGTTACATGCACTAACTAGAGACCCCCTTGGACTAAGCATCCCCACAGGGACTGGGAGTCCAGTGTCTGGCTGGGAAATCACCGTCTGTGTCTGTCTTCTGCTTGGGGGTTGCAGGAATACCTCGGTCCTACGTGGAGGCCCATGAGGACTACCTCAGAAGAGAAGCCAAACAGCTCAAGAGGGAAAACACTCCACCGAGGGACTTATCTGATGCCTACAAGGTCAGGTCTCACGAGGGTCTTACTCCCCTGAAAATGAAACCAGCCCACGAAGGCCTGGTGGCCACGGTGAAAGAAGCAGGAAGATCAATCCATGAGATTCCCCGGGAGGAGCTGAGGCGGACACCAGACATCTCTCTGACGAGGCCTCTGAAGGAAGGCTCCATCACGCAGGTGAGTATGGGGCAAACAGCAGATGAGGTCGGTCCTACTCAGGCTGCTGTCTTTGCACAGAGCCTGGGGACCATTCCCAAGGTAAAAGGAGAGCAGGGAGGACTTTGGGGTGCAAACACATCACTGGTGCAAATTGAAGCTTTGCTTGGGTGCAGGTTGCCCTTCACCATCATTTGGTCTTGAGAGGTCCCTTCCAACTCGAACCATTCTATGATCCTTCCCAGTGGCTAAATACACAGCTTGAGGAGAGGAGCTCAGCACCCTGGGGCACATTAAGAGAGCAATGCTTCATCCACGTACACACACGGAAGGGGACACATTTGGCTCTTGTTCAAAGACAGTCAATTTGGTGCCCTTGGCAATTGTGACTCTGGGTGCACATAATCTTGGTCTCCTCCCTTTACGGGCAAGTGTCAACCCAGGAAGGCCAGTAGTTAGGATGAAACATGGCATGCTGTCTTCTGTTGGGCTCCAAATATTTGGAGGGTTCCCATAGCACCTCGTAGTCCTACCTCATTTCACAGTGTGTGTAGGAGAGAGGCGTGATGGGCACAACCAGCCTTCAGCAGTGACTCATCATCGTCTTGTTGGAGCACAACAAGACATGCAGGACGGGCACTCCACCCTGCCCTGCACCGTGCAGAGCGGTTATCTCTGCTTTGCCGATGGCTGTTGCCATTTGACCGAGTAAAGTGATGTCCTGACCCACAGAACGAGGAAGCACGAGTCCCACTGAAACTTGGTGGGATGCGGTTGCTGTGTCCTCATCTGCTCTACACGCCGTTGATGTCCCCTCTGCCTTCTGTCCCCAGGGTACCCCACTGAAGTACGACAGCAGCTCTTCCTCCTCGAGTACCAAAAAGCACGATGTACGGTCCATCATCGGCAGTCCCGGCAGGACTTTTCACTCTGTGCACTCACTGGACGTCATCCAAGACCCAAGGAGTCTGGAAAGAGCTTACGAAGAGAGCCTGAAAAACAGGCCAAGCCCAGTGACAAACTCGGGTGGCTCTATTGCCAGAGGGGCTCCCGTGATTGTACCGGAGCCGGGCAAGCCCCACCAAAGTGCCCTCGCCTACGAGGACCACCAAGCAGGGCACAGCACGGCGTTCAGCAGCCACTTGCACAGAGGGTCTCCGGTCTCCACGCGGGAGTCCACGCCGCGGCAGCACGAAGGTACTTGAGGACCTTTTATTTGATGCTCAAGATTTCTAGCAAGCCAAGTGTGCAGGGTGTGTGGGAGGTGGCTGCTGACCCCACCTGCCTGAGATGTTCCTGGCAGGTGCCATCAAACCCTCTCAACTGTGTTTCATCACCATTGCCAGGAGTTTCGGGGTCCCCAGCTCTGCTCAGCAGTAGTGACCTCCCTGTGCCGAGGAGCATGGTGGCAAGGCTTCACCACCGCTTGCTTGTGTGGGCCAGGGTGAAGTTACAGACAGCCCAGCGTGGATGTGCTGGGGTGGAGGGATGGTTTGGGACAGGCTTCTCCTCCCAGGTGCAGCCAGGGCTTGGGCCACCTCAGCCTTGGTGGAGTAACATGGCATGGTGGTGCAGGGAGGAGAGAAAGGTCCCTGCAGTTTGGGGGGAGCTGCGGGTGTCCCTGGGGGACATACTTGGCTGCAGGCATCCCTCGGGGACATGACTTGGCCACGGCACTCAGTCTCTGACTCATTTCCTTCTGCTCACTGCAGGGAGCATCACTGCCGGGAAGCCGGTGTCCCAGGACAGAAAAATCACCCCCACATCGAGAGAGCTCACCAACTCCAAGTCTCCACATGCCCCTGTGGCCGCCCACCACCACCCTATCTCCCCATACGAGCATCTGCTGCGTGGTGTGAGTGGGGTGGACCTGTACCGAGGACACATCCCATTGGCTTTTGACCCTGCTGCCATCCCGAGGGGAATCCAACTGGAAGCAGGTACCTTTGGCAGGGGCACGGTCTGTTTGGGGTTGTTTTTATTCCTTGTTATGCTCCAAAATCTTGAGGTCTCTGGGGAAGTCCACTTCATATCTGCATCCTTTCCTCTCCCAGCTGCTGCTTACTACTTGCCAAGGCATCTGGCTCCGAGCCCCACGTACCCCCACCTCTACCCCCCGTACCTCATCCGGGGCTACCCGGACACGGCTGCCATGGAGAACCGACAGACCATCATCAACGACTACATCACGTCCCAGCAGATGCACCACAACGCCGCAGCCACGGCCATGGCGACATGCTGCGTGGCTTGTCACCTCGGGAGCCCTCCCTCGCCCTCAACTATGCAGCAGGTCCTCCTGGCACGGCATCATCCAGGGGTTTGGGGGCAATTTGGGAGAAGGAGGTTGGGTCAGGCTGGCACTGCCAGCTCCAGTGCTGGGGCCAAGGGCTGAGGCAGCAGCACGGTGTCACTCAGCGGTGTAGGAGCTTGGTTGGTCAGCATGTGGAAGAGCTGGAGGGAATTTGATGCTCTTTTTGCCATCCTTAGTTACTTGAGGCTCCTTATGTGTGACTCTGGTTTTGGGTCATGGGAGCTTTTCCCAGCCTGGCCCTGTTGACCTTTCGGAAATTCAGGTGCACTCCCAGAAGAATATCACTCCTCGCTCCAGCGTGGCCAAGCTGCAGCAGCTCAGTGTCGTCTTGACAATCCTCTCACTTCTCTCTCCAGGAATCATCGACCTGTCCCAAGTGCCACACCTGCCCGTCCTCGTGCCCCCCACCCCTGGCACCTCTGCCACCACCATGGACCGCCTCACGTACATCCCCGGGCCCCCCCAGACCTTCGGCAGCCGGCACAGCAGCTCCCCGCTCTCCCCAGGTAATGCTGCAGGTTGTTTTTCCCGTGGGGAAGCAGAACTCCCTTAACCCATCCAGGGCCACAAGCTCAGCATGCTGGGAGTCCAAATTCATACTCACTCAGGCACCAGCCCACTGGCTCCCTCAGACCAGCTCCTCTCATCCTGCTTGTTGGGGGCTTCCTTGCTTTTCCCACTTCTTCCCCAACGTGGCAGCTGGCAAGCAGCTTTGTGGCAGGTCATACCCTGGAGACAGCACCAGGGCAACTGTTCCCTGATTTGCCCTGGTTTTGGGGCACTGGTTGCCCCCATCTGTCCTGCTCCAGGTGACATTGGATGGAACTGTTCCTTATCTGCTCTGCAGACAAAGCGCTGTGAAGAGCAGGCAGGGTTCCCCAGGGGAAATTGGCTGCTCTCTCTGCAGCCCTTTCACTGCCTTTCTGTTGGGTTTCAGGAGGCCCCACACATATGACCAAACAGTCAGGATCATCGGTGTCCGAGCGGGAACGGGAGCGGGAACGAGAGAGAGAGCGGGAAAAATCCATCCTAGCGTCCACCACGGTGGAGCATGCTCCCATCTGGAGACCAGGTAGGCTGGGGAGGAGCCTGGTACCATATCTTGGGGTCCATGCTGGGTGGAGGTAGTGTTGGGACTATAACACGAAGAGCTAAAGAAACCCTTTGTTCTTTTCCCCAGGTACAGAGCAGTCCAGCAGCCGTTCATCCTCGCACTCTCACAGCCACCAGCACTCTCCCGTCTCGCCCCGCACCCATGAGACCATCCAGCAGCGCCCCAGCGTGCTCCACAACACGAGCATGAAGATCATCTCCTCGGAGACCCCCACCCCTTCCGTCCTGCGGTATGTCTCCCCACCACGGTTCCTGCTGCTTACCTGGACCCCTGCACTAGAGCAACCACAGTGGTTAATTAATGAGCATCATCAAACAGGGCACCTCTGAGATGGAGCGAGGGTTGTTTTGGCCTTGAGTCTCAGTGGGAGCAGGACTGGGGCTTACAGGGAGGTTGTGATGGGGAGAGGTGGGTGTTGGTGCCCAGTTCCTTTGCTTTTCCTCATGGTTTTTACTGCTACCAGGAGAGAAAGCAGGAGCATCCCAGGGCTGTCTGTGCTCAAATCACCTAGGCAAGAGGTTATTGCTCCTCTTACTCAAGGTTGCCTGGTGGTGGAGCTATGAAGGTCTCTGGGACCTGTCCATGGGTTTTATTCTCTCCAGTCGATGCATCCAGGCCACAGCCAATACCCAGTGGCTAGTTCCTGTGGTGGAGGCTCCATCTGAGCCCTCCTCACCTTCAACATGGACCAACCCTATGCTCAGGAGCCCAGGGAGGACCTTGGCCAGGCAGGGGAGGACCTTGGCCAGGCAGGGCTGAACACCAGGGCTCCAATAATAGCACTCTCCTTTCTCCACATGCTTCTCTCATCTTCGCCTTTTCTTCTGCCTTCCAGGTCCTCCTCCACCACTACCACGTCTCCAATCCGCTCCACCGCCTTCCCCTCGGCCTCCACCCTGCGTTCCTCCATCAGCGCAGCAGATGGCTACGCAGCCCTGATGGACCCAGTTGTCCTGCAGAAAGAGGCCTCGAGGACACGGGAAGCCAAGGCAGAACGACCCCAGACTGACAACAATGTCTTCACCTCAAAGCTGCCCAGTGGGGCCAACCTTGAACAGTCACCTTCACCCATTAAAGCCATGGAGTCAAGACCTTTACCCGCTTCTGGACCTGGTTCTTCTCATCACTATAGCAGAGGACAGGGGAAGAGCCAGCAGCACCATCACCCTCTGGACCAGCAGCACGCAGCCTCGGGCCCCGAGCAGCACAGTAGAGAAAAGAGTCAAAGTAAAACCTTTTCAATGCAGGAACAGGAGCTCCGAGCACTCGGTAAGACCACCACGACAGCGGCCAACTTCATAGATGTGATTATCATGCGCCAAATGTCTTGCGATAAGGGGCAGCGAGAAAGAGCCTCGCTAAGTAACGACTCCGCTAGCGATGGTAAGAAATTGGAGGGGAGAGGCGAGAGAGCTGTGGCCTGAAACCCGTTTTCTTTCATTATTTCTTATTTTTAGTTGCACGTTTTGGCTGTTGGCTTCGTCAGCTCCCCCCAGTGTGCTTGTCTCTCTGCTTCCCGGTCGTTGTGTGACTCCAGACTCTTTGATTTGTCTGTGTTTTAGGGATCTTCCCTTCTCCCACCCTCTTTTATTTTTTTTCTCCTTGCCAAGCCCTGTTTTGCAAATGTTGTTCAGTTCCTGGTATTGCTTTTTACAGACAATAGCAATGTGCTCATTCCGATTTCCCCATCGGGAGAAGTTCCCAGGCAGTCTGTAAGGAGCAGTCGTGGGTAATAAATCAAGTGAGCACAGCAGAGAAGCAGGAGTGTGAGTGGGACAGGGCTGCTGCCTGTCAGACACTCATCTCCTCACTCACAGTTGTGCTGTTGAGCGTGCAGGATCTCAGGGGGCTTTGTGGGCTGCTGCATGATGCAGCTCAGGTGGGAGCCCCTCGCTTGGGGTGATCTCACTCAGGGTCCTGGTGCTCGATGCTGCACAAGAGGGCAACACAGGCAGGGCTGTCCAGGAATCACTTGGCCCACCCGTGCTCAGCACACATTTCCAGAGCAGACTACAGGAACCACCCAATAGCAACCTTGTGTGGGACACAAAAGCACTGGGATAAGTTTCTCCAGAAGGAAGTGCAGGGAGGGGGCTGGATTCAAGGTCTAGGTCATTCTTGGTGGAACCAGTCTTCACCCAGAGCGTTCATCCAGGCTCCCACCAGCACACAGAGGCAACAGGCAGTCTGTGGGGATTTGATGGGACCTGTTCTTCAAGTTGAACATCAGTGCTGGAGGTTGCTACCCAGCTCCCTTTTCTGTAACCCAGGGGTGAAAGGGACACAGCAGCATGGCTGGGGGAGGAGAGCTGGTCTCACTGGCACATCCTGACCCACTCATCCCACCACTTGGTCACGTCTGGTCCTGGCCCCTTCTAGCAGCATGCTCCAGGGCCAGGGATGTGGCTCTGGCCACGATGTGCTGCTTGGCTGAGCTTTTCCTCCACCCTTCTCCGTGGCACCAGTGTCTCCTCCAGCTGAGTGTTGTCGTACTGCAGAGGAGAGGGGCAGCTTTTCTATAGCCATGAGCTTACAGGGAGGAGCTGGTTGTTCTCCAGGACTTAACTGTTGGTTAGAGATCTTCCCAGAACAGGACACTTTGTCTTGGGTGTATCTGAAGCATGGTCCTTTCAGTGCTGGCATGCATGGGGTGATGGAGGATGCTGCATCCCTGTCCCAGGGAGGTTCTCCATGGGGGTCCGCAGTACGTGCAAGGTCAGTGTCCCTGTGCCTGGGCACTGGGGACCCTCCAGCAGCGCTGTGAGTCGCCTGCCAGATCTGCCTGCACTGGGTGGTTCTAGGAACTGAGTGTTAGGAGGGTAAAGGTCTGTGGAGGCAAAAGTCTCCACAGTGAGTGTTACCAAGCGTGCTTAGCTGGTGAGAGGCAGCATGTGCCTCCTCCAGAACTCCTCCATCCTCCACCCCTGGTCTGTGGAAGCATAACACAACCATGCCCCCGTTTCCCCTCTCTTTGAAGGATAATGGTGGTCCCTCATTCCAGCTCTGCCTGCTTTGATGCGACTTGAGTCCATGCAAAGGGCTTAAAAGGCAGAAAAAGGTCAGGAAGCCTTTCTGCCCCTGTGGTGTGTGAGTCTGCTGTCTTCAGAGCAGGATCTGGAGTCTGCAGGACCTCACACCCCATTTTCAAGTCCCTGCTGTTGGTCATGCTGGGCTTGGGGCTTTGCTTTGTAAAGCACTTGAGACCTCCCATGAAGGCACCTCCGCTTCTGCAGGGCGTTGCTTTCCCTGCTGGCATAGTGGGGGTTTATTTTTTGTGTTTCAGTTAGTGGGGAAAAGGGAGGGAACAAGTTGTGAACCCACAGGTGTTGAATTTGGTTCCTGACTCTGGTGCCACCGCCGTGAGCTGCTGAGCGTCCAGCTCTGCAGGAATGAGATGTCACCTCTTTACTGCAGCCATCACCACAACTGGACATCAGAGGTGGCTCCTGGGGCTCCCTGCAATGTCACCTGCCATGTCTTCCCTCATCTTTTTTCCCCATTTTGCTAACTGTGTCACTCTGCCTGCAGGTGATGGTTGCCACAGGCAGAAGCCAAGCGAGCTCCTGGTTTTAACTCCCTTCTCCCGTTTCCCCAGGTTTTCACGGAGGCTACAGCCCCGAGCGGATGGAAGCAGTGAGTCCCGTGAGCTCGCCCAGCCTGTCCCATGACAAAGGGGCCAAGCTGCTGCAGGATGCAGAGAAGGGGCATGGGGAGCATGACCTGAGGCAGAAGCAGCAAGGTGAGGGCAGGGGCTGGCAGTGCCAGCTGGCACGGGACAGCCCAAGCTGGCATGGGAGGGCTTCATCACCCAGCTCTCGCTCGCCGTGCCCCGCTGCCATGCCAGGATGGTGTTTGAGGGACACTGACACCATCTCATGCCTGCTCTCTTCTCTGTGCCTCCCCAGGCTCGCTTAAGGCCTCGGCTCCCGAAGCAGCCCACCTGCAGCACCTCCGGCAGCCCGATGGCCCCCAGTGCCAGCCCCTGCAGCCCAGCCAGAGCGTCAAGGGCATGAACCAGCGAGTGGTCACACTGGCCCAGCACATCAGTGTAATTTACTCGTTCTCACCTTCCTACTGGGGCTCCAGGGAGGAGGGAAGAGCTGATAAGAAACATGTCAGGTGGGGAAGGGCTGGGAGTGATGCTGGAGACCTCAGCACCTCTGGCTGGGGGCTGGAGGGAGCAGGGTGTACCAGGCTGTTCAGCCCAGGTGCTTGTGTCCCCAACAAGCTCATCATGAGAGCTGCTGCAGGCAAGAGGCAGAAGTCACATCCCCACCAGGACAAACCAGCCTAATTCCCTCCTGCTTGCCTTGTCTCCGTTGAACCCAGCAAAGCAAGAGGTAGAAACCAACCCTATTTCTGACTCAGGGATTTCTTCTTCTAGGAGGTCATCACGCAGGACTACACACGCCATCACCCACAGCAGCTCAACTCCCACATCCAGACCCCGGTGTACTCCTTCCCCGGGGCCACATGCCCCGTGCTGGACCTGCGCCGTACCCCCAGCGAGGCGTATCTGCAGCAGCAGGAGCACGCAGCGGCCTCCAGGATCTCCCCACAGAACGAAGGCGGCAAAAGGTGAGGTCAGAGAGATGGATTTCTGCCCACCTGCTCTGTCAGTCTGAGGTCAGACAGACCAGAGCTACCTAGAATGGGGAGCCAGGAGGGTGCCCTTGGCCACCAAGGTGGCATGTAGGGCAGGCTGGCACTTGCCATTGCTGAATGTACGCTCCCCAGCTCAGGGCTCAGCTGGAACACTTGCTTACACAGCCCGGAGGTTAAAACTGCCTTCTGATCTGGGCATTCTTCCGCAGTGGTGGTGCCTCTCTTGCCATTCCTGTTGTTCTAGAGATGCTCTCCAGAGCCCCTTAGAGTCCATGCATGATCCCCTTCCCGCTCTGGCCAGTGTCACAGAATCATTGAGGTGGGAAGGGACCTCTCCAGATCATCCAGCCCGATGCTTAGCCCAAGTAGGTCAGGTGGAACAGGTTGTCCAGGGCCATGGCCAGTTGGGTTTTCAGTATCTCCACTGATGGAGACTTCAGCACCTCTCTGGGCAACCCATGCCAGTGTTTGAGCACCCTCACAGTAAAAAAGTGTTTTCTTGTGTCGATGTGGAATTTCATGTGTTTTGGTTTGTGCCTGTTACCTCTTGTCCTGTCACTGTCCTCAGTCCCTGGCAGATCATGGTGCAGATCACCTTTCAGACTACAGATGGTTCCAAAAAACCCAAAGCAACATGTTTTGCATTGATTCAAAGTTAATTTTATCATTCTCACTGTCAGTGAATCAGAGGCTTGTTAGACACATGTGCTGTGTCAGCTGCAGCTATCCATTCCAGGCACCACCTGTATTTCTTCTAAAGTCACTTTTAAATCCTTGTGCTGGTATCAGCAGGGCTGATTCCTCTTGTAGGGAATTAAAAAATGGGAATTGTGAGAATGGGATCTGTCCTTCTACACAAACACCAAATGCATCCAGGAAAGAATAGTGTCTCCAAACTGGTGGTTCCTTGTCAGTAAATGAGATTATTACTCCCCAGCTCTGTCTGGTCCTAGAACTGGCTTTGTAACATGATGGGAGAGAGCCCAGCCCTGGCCACCCAGCGACGAGGGGAAAAAAAAAGTGAGGGGAAAAAAAAAGGAACCACAGAAAGAACAAAGACGTAAATTCCCAGAACTTGCCGTGAGGAATTCCTCGTGAACTTGAGCCTGGCCATCTCCCAGGCGCTGGCCATGGGCAGGCATCGGGGGCTGTGTCGGTCCTCTCCAGGCTGCCCCAGCGCCGGGCTCATCGACGCAGCCAGTGAGGTGGACGGGGGGCGGTGGGTGCTGCCCTCCCCTGTGTCTGCAAATATGATGGAGAATCAAAAGCCACGTCCCCAAAGGGTTGATGTCCCAGCCCTCCGCGGGGATTGTGTCCCTGCCAAGGGGCACTTGGGCTGAGCCAGCAAGTCCCAGGCCGTGGGCAGCTGTTTTGGGGCTGTATTTGGGGTGGCTGCTGGCTGGCCTGGGGCCTGGAGATCTGGGCCAGGTCTGGGCTCAGTCCTGCTCCGCCGTGCAGAATGCCCAAGCTGTGCTCTTCCTCCCGCCCGCGATGAAAGGCGCCGTGAGCCCCCGGGGATGTGGATGGAAGGTTTGGCTTTTTTCCCCTGCTGTCGGAAAGTTATTTTAGTCCTTCTCCCCCTCCACCCCAGGCTGCTGTGCAGAGACACAGGGTGTTGCAATAAACCGATGGCATCTCCCCATGGTTTTCCACAGGTCCCCAGAGCAGAGCAAAGCCTCGGCCGGGAGCGGGGCGGACAACTGTATCGAGCCGGTCTCTCCACCAGACGGCGTGGGGGAAGCAGAGCACGCCAAGACCGCCACGTACCCGATCCTGTACCGCGAGGGCGAGCAGATAGACCAGAGGTAACGCCCAGGGAGGGGACGGTGGGGACAGCGTGGGGATGTTCCCCCCTGTCACCATGCTCGCCCTGGTCCAGGCTGCTTTTCTTGCAGCCAAAAGCAATGTCACATCCCAGGTTGCTGTTGTTGTAGTGGCTTTTCAACACCTTCTGGTACATTTAGGGTAGGAATAGGGAGAAGGGTTGGAGATCCAGAATATCTCAGAAGCCCCCAGGCTGATTTTGAGGACCTAAGAGCCTCTCTAGGTAGGACTTTGTGAACTGGATGTTGCAGAGGTTTCTGATGGTCTTTTGCTTTGCAGGATGGGGTCCAAGTCCCCAGGAAACAACACTCAGCCTCCAGCTTTCTTCAGCAAGCTGACTGAGAGCAACTCTGCCATGGTGAAGTCCAAGAAACAGGAGATCATCAAGAAACTCAGCACGACCAACAAAAATGAAACGGAGTACAGTAAGGACATGTGGGGGAGGCAAATGTGGGGCACTGGGGGGGGGAAAAAACCTTGAGGACACGTGAAGCAAAAGAGATCTGGGAATGAGTGCTGCTGTGTTAAGAGCTGGGACCTCCGAGCCAGCGCCCTCTGCATCGTGCCATGGTTTTTTGGGAAGTGCAAGGTCCAAATGCCACCTGGGATGAGCCATGCTGGTGCCAGCAGTGGCTGTGTGCATCTGGAGAGGTGATGGGAGGCTTCCCAGCCCCACATCTCCTTGCTCTGGGGCTGTCAATCCCACCCACACCAGATAACCTCAATAGGAAGGAAATAATGAGCTGAGCATGGAGGAGACTTAAGAGCAATTGATATTTTAATGAATGGCCAGCCAAGCTGAATCCTTCCTCCTTGAGATGCATCTCCCCCCAACGTCACTGTAAGCCCTACATCAATATTGGTATAGCTCTGTAAAACTAACCAGCCTGGCTTATATTAGAAATTCAGCCCGTTCATTCATTAACCACTAATAGAGTAGATAGGATCATAATTTAATTTAGCCCAGCATTATACAGTCAATACTAATTCAATTTGAATCCATCTTACAACAGCTGCATCGGATAAGAGGGACCGAGCTGTCTCGTCTCCTGGATGATGTTACCATGAGCCAACAGTATTGTTATGCCCCTTTGGGGACATGGGGCTGAACCCCCTGACCTTCCACATTTTCCCTTATCGAGGGAAAATATATAGAAATAGGAAACGCCTCTTATTTGATGAGAATATCTGTTATTCTAAGGAAAGTGATATCCAAGTCAAACAGCTCAGCTAACAGGGAAAATATTGATTTAACATTTCTCCTCCTCCTCCTCACCCTCCCCACTGCCCAGACCTGCTCCCTGGATGTGGGGATTTGAGCCTTTGGAAATCCCGTAGGCAGGAGAGGGTTTAACTTCACAGAGCTTGTCATCTGGAGGGTGGGAGGGAGGGAAACCAGCACTGAGCACCGAGACATCACCCTGGCTCTCTGGTCTCTGCTTTTGCCCATTCCCAGCTGGTGAGACGTGCCCACTGTGCTTCTCCCAAAGGCAATTATTCCTGGTCCCAGCCAGCACCCACAGACCTACCCCAGGGTCCGGGAGAGGTGGGCTGCTGTCAGCCTGGGTGCTGTGACAGGGACACCAGGATCTTGTCATGGCTGGGATCCCTCCCTAACGCCAGCCTGCACATGCTGCTCTCCGTACTGAAGAGCTTCTTTGTTTTTCTCCAGATGTTGGGCAGCCTGGGACAGAGATTTTCAATATGCCGGCGATTACCGGAGCAGGTAACTCTCCACGTATCTGTATCATCCCTCGTTCCCTACGGGGCTCAGCCACAGAGAGCAGGAGACTCAGTAGATTTAAGCATCTCCTTCCTTCCTTTTGCCATAAGACTGAGCATGACAGTTGCCGGGAGGCTGAAGCCTTGGGACACACCGTTAACTCCCTGCTGTTGAGTTGGAGACGGTGCAGTGTAATTCCTCAGAAAGTCTGTCAGAGTTTGAGGAGAGGTTAAAAGCCAAGCAAGGGTTGGCCATCTGATACCAACAGAGCATTAAACCATAGAGCAAGGTGGACCTCACGTTCTGGAGAGAGCAATCTGCTCTTGGTGGAACCTTGCTGTCACCCATGGATGGGTAGAAGGGCAGCAGTGAAAGGGAAGGTGAAGGTGGGAAGCAGGCTTCGTGCCACCATGGGCTGGGCAGGCTGCAGGAGCTGGTTGCAGAAGTAAACTGGGGTGAGAGCAACACCCCATAGCCTTGAACTGTGAGTGTTGGGCAAACTGGTGATGGCTGAGGACCACGAGGAGGAGGTGATAGCCAGGAGATGCAGGGATGCCAACAGCATTCTCAGTCCTCCAGGTACTTGAAACATGGGTTGACTCTGGTTTCTCAGAAGCTGTGAGGAAACATTGAGCTGATGGCCAGGCCTGGCCATGGTGGTGCCAGCTGGTGCCATGTAGAAGGGTTTCATGGGCAGGACTGCTTGGACCTCTGCTGCTCTGCACAGTGTGGGGCTTCCAGCGGGTGAAAGGTTTCAGGCTCTGCTGTGCCCACAGCTTTCAGCCCAGATGGGGAAGGAGGAGAAGGAGCAGCTTCAGGAAGGGATTTTGGCAAAGAGGGATGGAAATGGACCCCATGGAGTTGGACAGCCAGCATGGGCTTCCCCAGCATGGGACAGAAACCAGCCTGAGGGAGAAGGACAGCACGAAGGCTGCCGAGCTGTTGTCACCTGCTGCAGCAATGTCTGGGTGGGCACCCAAGTGAATGAAATGAATCCCCACTGAGGAGTATTAGTCCATACTTCATTAATAAGTGTTAATGCTCCTACAGCAGGAACACCTTCAGGATGGTAGTTTTAAGTAGGAGGACTGGCCACACTTCCCCTCAACCAAGGGAAAGGGAAGGAGGTGCTGTGGGCAAGGACTTTGTGTGGTAGGAGGGCCAGGGACAGCCAGTGCAGGCATGCTGGGGAGAAGGAGCTGGCTCATGTCGACAGCTGGGATGAGAGGGTGTAGCCAGCCGGGACCCGAGGGTCTGTGGCAGACAAAATTTGGGGAGATGAGATTCAACCTCCTGAGAGCATCTCCTGGTTAAAGCTGCTCCTGCTGTGCTGGAGGGAGGCGTCAAGGCAGAGCACAAGGAGTTGAGGACCAGGGTCTGGCTGGAGGGGACCAGGAGAGACCCTGCCTGTTTACAAGAAGATGAGCAAACCCAGGATCCATCCCGGAGGGGCAGCAATCCCAGCGGGAACACCCCCGGGATGGGACAAGCTTGGTGGTGGGGGGGCTGCCAGGGGGGCTTCCTCGCCAACCTGCTGTTTTTGTGTCTATATTTTGCCCTTGCTTGTTCCCCGTAACCGCCGCGCTGGGAATGCCGGTGGCGTGGCTGAGCGTAGTGCCCTCCGGTCCCTGTGCGGTGCTGCTCCATAACTGCATGGCTTCAGACTCACAACCACGCCGACACACCACTTCGCCTCTGCACCCTGTCCCATAGCCGTGGCTCAGCCTGGGAGGGGTCCTGGACCCAGTGGGCACCCAGCCTGGTGGGGGGAGGAAGAGAATGGGCCGGGATGATGGGCAAGGGGCCTGCAAAGAGTGTGAGGAGGGACAAAAGGACTCTCCCCTCTCCCCAGCATCGCCCGACCCCACGCAGGCAGCCCTGTGGGCTGTTGTGTGCCCATCCAGGGGCTGCCTGCCTTTAACACTTCTCATGCCAGGGCCAAATCCAGGTGCTTCTTTCCAATCAAGTGGAGATTTTTTGGGGTGCCCCCTCTTATTCCTTGACTTTTCCTCCATGGGAAACTGCCCCAACCTCCAAATTCCCAGCACACCGACCTTTGATCTGTGCGTGCATCCATACGGACTCCACGCATCCAGGTGACTCCTGTCCCCATACCGAGCCTGGCACAGCCCCTCCTTCTTGCAATCACTCCCCGGGGCTCAGTGACAACCCCTTCCCCTCCCACCTTGGCCCCAGGGACCCCTTCCCCTCCATCCTCCGAGCCCTTGGCCCCAGGGACCCTGCCTGCCTGCAGCTCTCCAGACAGTAAGTCCCATCCCATCCCACCGCCAGTTCCCTGCCAAGCCCTGGGGCGGGATGGAGCGGGGAGGAGGAGGAGGACGGGTGCATCGCAGCGCTTGAAAGAACAAGATGACAAAGTTTGTTGCTTTGCGAGAATGTGCTGACTGTTTGTTTCTTCCCTTCTCCCTTGTCTCCTTTCTCCCCTTTCCCCGTCCCCCCCATCTTTCTTCTCATTTGGCTCCCCCCCCATCTCCCGTCCCCTCTCTCCTCCCTCTCCCGTATCTCCCAGGGCTAATCAGTTGTAGGAGCCAGTCGGTCCAAGAGAATTCCAGTACCAACATGGGGTTGGAGGCAATAATTAGGAAAGCCCTAATGGGTAAATATGACGAGCAGTGGGAAGAGCGCTCACCTCTCAGTGCCAATGCTTTTAACTCTCTGAATGCCAGTGCAAGCCTGCCCGCTGCTATGCCCATAACTCCTGCTGATGGACGAAACGAGGACGTGCGCTCCTTGCCAGGTCTGCAGCCCTCTCCACCTTCGCTCTCTCTGTGTTATTAATTCTCAGCCTTTATATTTCCCCTTTTGTGGGTGGATTTATTCCCCCCCACACACACACACACACATACACACCGTTTTTGTTCATTTTGGTTTTCTTTTCTCCCCTCCCTCCCTCCCCCAGCTTGGAGCTTTTTGAATCCGCTGATTAATCCTGGTCTTGTTTGATGTTAATTTAATAGTCTCGGAAGGTGCTGTTGCTTTCTCTAAACCACTGACTGTGCTCCTTTCCTTGTTTGTTGGTTTTTAATATCTCCTTTTCTTTTTTTACACCATGGAAAGGTTTATGGGAGGGGGGGGAAATCCCCACACCCCAAAAAATGAAGCCATAAACTTAAATAGCCACCCCAAATTGTCCATAAACCCCAGGCAGCATCACTGCTCCTGAAATAGGGGAAGGAGCTGAGAAGGGCCAGCACAGGGGGACATAGGGCAGGGTGGCCTTTCCCTCCCCAGCCTGGGGTCAGGGCAGGCTCCAGCCTGGGACAGAGGGTTGGATGGGACCTGGGGGTGCTGGAGCAAGAGAGAGAGCTTATGTGGGTACAGGTGATAGAGATGGGGGACAGCTTCAGAGAGCAGGGCTGGGGATGAGCGGCCTGATGGGCTCCTCCAAAGCTGGCTGAGCATCTTGGAAGCATCTGCCTGGCTTCAGGGGAGGCTTGAGCAGAGCCAGAAGGGTTGTTCTGCAGATCCTCAGTTAAGGAAGAGAGAAGGGGGACCAGGGATGGATGGATGGATGGATGGGGGGAGAGCGACTGTCCCCCGTGCACCTGCAAAGGGCAGATGGGCTCTTGCAAGCGCCCTGCACAGAGCATGGCAGCCGGGGACCAGAGCTGAGGAGTGGGGTCCTGGGGACACACACGCGCCTTCCTCTGGGTCAGCTTGGACAAGGCGCTCTTTAGCTTGTTGCAGAAAAGCTTTTCTGGCTCCTGCATGAACCAGCAGCTTTTTCCAGCCATGCTTCCCCATGCCTGGCAGAGGCTGCCCAGGCAGGCAGGGTGGGATGAGGAGCCCATCCATTGCCCCGCTTTGGGAGCT